GCAGTCGGTGCTGGTGTTGGAGGACAATAGGCTCGTGCAGACTATGGGCGACAAAAAGGGGACACGAGTTGTATACGAGTTGGTGGGCCATGAGCTCTGGGTTACCTATACTGCTGGACCGGTGGTTGCCGGCCATATATTCGCTCGCCAATAGACTACAGTACTAATAACACTCTCTTTTATAGGAAGCTTATAAAATGGGGTTGTCCATTTTGAAATTAGCCAAGTTTCAATTGTTAAGTCAATCAAGTAATTGTTAGTTTATTATATATAACTATTTTATGTATTTAAATTAGTTATGCTGTTTTTACTATCAGTAAATATCATTTTTAAATATAATTACATGCATACATATATTTACATACTACATTATTTGATACTGAGAATTAAAATGTTGTTTAAAGTCTAATATATACTGTATATCCATTTTTCTCAACGAAATCGCAGTTAACACTTACCGACCAATCGGGTGCAATAAAATCGTTAGCAACAGATATTGAGGGCACCGATAGGCTAGACTCTAGAGCCCAGACATTAGAAAACAATTTTGTTAACTTTGAATGAATCGACAAAACAAACTAATACCGGTTTTAATTGCAAATTTATTTAATTTAGAAACTGTAAAAAACAAAGAAATTATTAAAATGAATTGCTCAGTAAATTAGGATACTACTAAATAATAATTATAAATTTACTAAAAGAATTAAAATTTATATAACTAAACATTATTATAATAAAATATAGTTTATATGAGGTTTAGTATTTTGTTAATTGGACCAAATTGTATTTACATTTAGTAAACTATGGACATAACCTTTATAAGATTTTACCCCAAAACGCCTAGTGCCGAAAAAGCCTAATCTGACTACTTTAGTAATGTTTATCAAAGTTAAATTATATCCTGGCATAATATTAATGCATAAATTACGCTAATATATTTGACGTTATTTATAAAAGAATTAGCATTATGGCATAATTTTGATAAAATTTTGAAAACTTAAATAAAAGTTTTCTAAGTGAATAAATTAAATAATATTAGAGTAACGTTATTTATAGCTAAATTAATTAAGGGCTAATATAAATAAACTTATTTGATCAATCTAGCTCTTTTAATTAATAAGTAATTTTGAATTTTATAAAATAGGGCCTTAAGGTTGCAGACGTTTTGTGTGAATCCGATTCATTATAATATAATAAATATAATTTTGATGCCAATAATAAATACATGAAATAATAGGTGTTCCCTGACTGTAAACATCGGTTGAAACAAATCGTGTTGTTGTATATACGAGGAAATGTATATAATATTCAAATAAAAGAACGAAATTTTTTTAACTCCTTTATAAAGCTAACAACTAAACAAATTACTATATTTCAGAGATAACTTAATTATAAATTTTCAACCATTTATTTAAATGTTTTATACAAATATATAATAAATCGAAACTATAGTTTGATTCAATAATGATTTTTATGCAAACCTGGCGCCCATTATAGCCAACATACTTCCAACTTTAACTTCACCTGATACTATTAATTAATAATCCTGTAATTACTTTAAAACATATATGTGGACTTGGAACACATTTCGGGGACTTTTGTATAGCATAGAAAATATAGTCATGTAGTGAAAAGCTTTAAATTCCCAGCTTACAATTACACATTGAACATGAATTAATGTATTCGTATGAATGAGTAAGGTGAGTTTTTAAAATGTGTAATCATAAGCTGGGAATTTAAAGCTTTTCACTCCCTGACTATATTTTCTATTCTATACAAAAGTCCCCGAAATGTGTTCCAAGTCCACATATGTTAAACGTTATAAATTGCAAATACCGTTCCGTAGGATCTCTTTTGGAGTTTTATTATTTTGAAAACAATTATAAATAGATTTCTGTGTTTTAGTCAACACTTGGATATTAGTCGACGAAATACACACCGAATGTATGCTCTCTCCCGGACTCCCATTCCTATTGTCGGCTATTATTTTCGACATTTCTATCATTTCTATTTTTCGTATTAAAAAATAAATTATTATCATATATTAGTAAAGCATTTGTAATGACATAATTATAACACAAAATATTATCTAATTTACTTTAAATATTATTTCAAACTATGATTTGTAGTCAAGGATAGGGACTATGAAGTGGTCGTTACTAATGTACAGTATATTATGTTTTAGTGGTAAATGCAATATACTGTAGAACAGCGTTCCTGAACTCAAAAAAGATTACGCTTATAATATTTGTCGTACCAACTTTGGTTTTTAGTGTTATTGTAGTTTAAGTATTATAAAAATATTTCACAAAAATTATTGAAAACTCCAACCAAACGACCGCTTAACGAAAACTCTGATTTATATTGTGTTGTGACCTCGGGTTCGGCCGCAGTGACCACTTTTATCGCGAATTGTTTCCGTTATAAATATGGACATGTTATATGTCAATTCAAAGAGATTTTAATGGAGAATACGAAGGAATATATAAAACTTTTATAAACCTGACTAATAATGCAAATAATGCCGAATTAGTGACGAAATCTGTGAAAAATCACAATAATTTTTTTAAATCTTGGGTTTTCTAATTTTTACATATTCTATCGTATTCTCCATTAAAATCTCTACTGAATTGACATATAACATGTCCATATTTATAACGGAAAAATTCGCGATAAATGTGGTCACTGCGGCCGAATCCGAGGTCACAACACAATATAAATAAGAGTTTTCGTTAAGCGGTCGTTTGGTTGGAGTTTTCAATAATTTTTGTGAAATATTTTTATAATACTTAAACTGCAATAACACTAAAAACAAAAGTTGGTACGACAAATATTATAAGCGTAATCTTTTTTTGAGTTCAGGAACGCTGATATAATCTATTAATTTGTAAATTAGTTTAGAAAATTAATATTATATGCTATACAACACTGAAATTACTTTATTCGTTGAAATATAACTTGATATCTAAAATTACATTATTTGTTTCACATTTAAAATTATATCTGTTTAACTTTGCTTATTGATTATCATTAAAGTATCTAAATTTTTGAATTTATTATTTTAAAACTAAATTCAATAATAATAATAATGATAGTCATTCACTGGTGTCTGACTTTCCGACATAAGCCGATATATGCGATACACATATAAACCAAAGTCCAGGCCATGAGGGCTATGGGACACCACTGGAGACACGACTCATCGAAACCCATGGATTCAATGACTTCTACTCCAGAGGTATAAGTAGTCGTCGATTGTGTGGTGTTTGTGGTGTCGGACGACATGTTTCCCACATTTCGCCACTCGTTTACAACCAATGATTGGTATCCGTAATAATTAAGTGACAAGTACTGCAACCAATCTAACCACCCTGGTAGTGTGCTAAATGATTGATCATGAAATAAAATTTAATGCCCAATTAATGGTATAATATTAAATAAATTACCCGATGTTAAGGAAATATCCTCCCAATACACTCAATGGTACCAAAAGTGATCCAAGTATTGCATTGGCTGTCATAAAGTCCCGGCTTAGTGTAGATATTAAAAATCCTATATTAATTTTAATTGCAATAAATAATAAATAATTATTATTTAATCAATTTTAATCAAGTAAGGCATTTAACTTTAGGAATTCTTAAAAATTATATAATATTTTAAAATAAAAAAATATATTTAACATTAAATTTTATAACATGAATAATCAAATTAGCTATTAATTAATTTATTAATAAAATTTAAGTCAATCCAGTACTTAACATCATTTACCCACTTTATTGTTTAAGTAGAATTTGATTTTCTTAAATATACAGTTATTAATAATGATATATTACCGAAATTCCAGGCACAAATTGTGGCCAAGATAATAACACCAAGGTAAATGAAAAATGCTTGTGCACTCAGATATAAACCAACGACGAAATACAAAATCGTCACAATGATAATAGTCAGTATTGCATTTATAGCCAACTGTTCAGTAAATATATGATATGAGTTACCGCTTCAAAAGTATGTTCTCTGATCAGCACTGCAATTGTCAATAGCCTATTGTTTTATCATATTATTAAATCCAAATAGGTTGACACTATTAGGGCGCAGTTTAGCACATAGATGTCCATAGTATAGGCATCACTTGTAGTAGTGAAGTAGAATTGCCGTGGTATGAACCATCGATAATAAGACTGAGTTTTCTTTATAAAAATTGTTTAAAATAGTAATAAATGCTAATGATTTAGAAATTAATTAAATTAAATAATTTTAAATATATTGGTTTTAAATTAACTTAAGTGATACCTGAATAAACTAAATTTTGAATTGGATTAACTTAATTGCACACTAATTTAGCTTAATTATGCACTGGATTACCTTAATGTGGTTAACTAATGATTAACCCAATTAACTTAATTTAAAATTAGATTCACTAATTATTGAATTTAATTTTGATTCAGTGCACAATTAAGCTAAATTAGTGTGCAATTAAGTTAATCCAATTCAAAATTTAGTTTATTCAATTAACACTTAAGTTAATTTAAAACAAATATATTTAAAATTACTTAATTTAATTAATTTCTAAATCATTAGCATTTCTGACTATTTTAAACAATTTTTATAAAGAAAACTTAAAAGTCTTATTATCAATGGTTCATACCACGGCAATTCTACTTTACTACAACAAGTGATGTCTATACTATGGACATCTATGTGCTGCACAGCGCACTAATAGTGTCAACCTATTTGGATTTAATAATAAAGCACTGTATGTACAGTATCTCAAAGAACATACTTCTGCAGCGAGCGACTCATAATTAAATTTATATGAGATGCAACATAATCTAATTATACAATCTAATAGGATATATTTTCTTTAGTAATACTATTATATTAAAGGTGTAACAGTATTCATATAATTATGTTCTATTAATATGCATATTTAAACATATTTTCACCAATAGTATACAATACAGTGTATAAAAACCCCTAAATAGTATACTGTACATCCCAATGTTGGACAATTGGTCAGTCTGTTGACCAAATAGCTGTACTATTTTGTAAAATAATAGTAAGTTTATAAGATATGCCACTTATAAAAATTTATACTTTACTCGTAAAGCTGTTTTGAACACGTTCTCTTAGAAAGCTTTATGAAAACACACATCACTTTCGTATTATTGGTAGTTATATAATATAAATAATAAATAAATAAATACTTAAACTTAACCTGGGTAATAATGGTCGCCAATAGATATGGGAACAAAGCGTACGTACGGTTGTGGTGTTCCCTACAAAGTAAGGCTTCCTCTCCTATTAATGTCTATAATATAATAGAAAATTATATTTATTTAAATATTGTTTTTAATTTTCAAATATATTCCTAAAAAATTAACAAATGTACTATTGTATAAATATAAATTTACACAATTTTCCAATTTAAATGCAAAAAATTAAATTTCAAAAATGTTATTAAGAAAATAATATACAATCATTTTTATTATGATAATAATAAGTTTAAAATGAAATAATAATAATAATGCTTACACTTAGAGCGACCATTGGCTGTGTCATTATAGTTTGCATTAATATTACATTAAGAGTCCCTTTGATATTATCGACGTTGGAGTAGTCATATCCCTGTCCGTAGTATAGTATCCCAACTAATACTGTCAAACACTGTGGGAAAACACATTTGCATAATTGTGAGCTAATTATTTATATTATAAATAAATATCAATGACAAACGAGCATTTGGATTAATCGAGTTTGTATGAAACGGGGATTCCGCATAAAAACAATATATGATCGCCATAATACAGTAACCAGTTGTTGCCAATAACCAGCCCTATAGCCCGACCCCAGTGTTGCCAAGTTTAATGCACACATATTACCCACATTATATTCAGTGTTAACTGTATTTACTCTCCTATCGAGAAAATTGTCGCATATTTCCTATATATAAAGACAATTTAAATATAAATATAAATAACTGGATAAATGAATTTTGAAATATTACATTGACTTTGCTTTTTGTTTGCGCATAATTACTATCCATTATTGCTATTATTGGATAAATGATATAAAGTGATTGAAATTGATTAGGCATATGAGTAAAACAAACCCAATTCCCGTAAATAATAATCCGATGGATTGTAGGTTTTTGGACAAACCTAATTAGGATATTTAAATTTTATTTTTAATTAAATAAAATCCATTAGAATATTATAATATTACTAATCCTTGCGATGAAAAGAAATCTTTTGCTTCACCTGTAAATGCAATGAAATTAATATATATTTATAATAAATTTATATATAATATGAATACCGATGGACCCCATGAAGGCTACCCTTCCGTCGGCCATAAGTAATAGACTGTCGAAGAGTTGAAAGACTGGAGACGAGGGCTGATGTATAGTACAGATAACAGTCCGTCCCTCCGATGCCATAGTCTTCAGCACTTGTACTATAC